GAGAGAAACAGAAATAATGTGTGAAGCCTTTCTTAATTTTGGTAGATTTATAGTCATAAATAAGTAGGTACTGATCCCACAAACTTTCATTTTTCAGCCCCATTCAGTCTTCTTCTTCTTCTTCTTCTACTTTTAATTTGAAGCTTGCCTTCTCATTAGCTGAGAGAGAAGTATAGAAAGAGGAGGATAGAGATAGAGATAGAGATAGAGATAGATAGATAGATAGAGAGAGAGAGAAGGATAAGGGTTTTAAAGAAAAGCCATTGACTTATTTTAATTTGAATTTCTTTTAGTTTTGTTTATATTTATTAACTTCATATTTTATTTTAATTTTATCGGGATGCGTTATGACCACTTTAGGGTTTATTCAAAATGCACAAAGCAAACATTCCATATGTGATTCATCATATATGGAATTGATAGACTAGCGAAAGCCATAGCAAAATTCTTAACATCACTTCTTGGTATAATTAGGCATTCGCATAAAAATTCCGGTGACTTGCTCTAAAGACAGATTAAGTAGATTAAAATTCTGTCTACATCTCTGAGATGAGGCATTATTATTACTTGCATTATTTAGATTATTCGGACTCTTATCCTCATCTTCATAGCTATATTCACAACGTTTCGTCCGTTGTACGCTCCGGCCTTCACTATCTGTCTATATCTCTGAGATTAAATATTATTATTACTTGCATTATTTACATTATTTGGACTGTTATCCTCATCTTCATTGATATATTCACAACGTTTTGGCCGTTGTACGCTCAGGCCTTCACTATCTGTCAATATCTCTGAGATTAAATATTATAATTACTTGCATTATTTACATTATTCGGACTGTTATCCTCATCTTCATTGCCACATTCACAAAGTTTGGGCCGTTGTACTCTCCGGCCTTCACTATCTGTCTATCTCTCTGAGATGAGATATTATTGTTACTTGAATTATTTACATTATTCGGACTGTTATCCTCATCTTCATTGCCATTTTCACAACGTTTCGGTCGTTGTGCGCTCCGACCTTCAGGTGATTGGAATTTCGAATCTCTCGCCAAATTCTAGTTCACCACTGCTGTAGCGTGGTATTGAACTCATAATTCCTTGAGTCTAGTCACTGGATCTAATCAACGCCTTTATCCACTGGGTCATGTGTCTTTGAGTAAATTCATACACAGATAGTCTCAAGGACACATGACCCGATAGATAAAAGGCATTGGTTAGATTCATTGACTAAACCCAAGGAGATGTGAGTTCAATACCAGTCTGCAGCAGTGGTGAACCAAAACTTGTAGAGCGGTTCGGTTCGAAATTCCAGTCACCTGAAGAAGGCCGGAGCATATAACGGCCGAAACGTTGTGAATATGGCAATAAAGATGAGGACAACAGTCCGAATAATGTAAATAATGCAGATTAAGCTTATATGAATATCATACAATAATGGTTACCCTGTGGAATTGCTCCGCTTGTTTGCTAAAAAACTTCTGCTAACGACCACTAGATGGCGTGCCAAAAACAGTATATACGAAAAGGTTGCAAAATCGCATCCTCTTTTCTTTCTCTTTACGCATAAATTGCCTTAAAGATAAGGTCTCCAGTGAACCAAGTCGGTCACAGTTGTACACAGCATACAAATATACACTTTACTTACTTGATTATATCTAATAATTTTACCAACCCAACAAAGAACTCATTACAAAGTGTAAATATCTTAAAATCATTCATATGAACTTTGCACACATATGAAAAAAGACATCTCCACTGACACACAAACACAGACACAAATTAACACAAACTAACAAACAGAAACACTTTCATTCAGCCCTTTTGTATTCTTTCTATATAGTTTGTAAACGCAATAAAATATGTTGCTATTAAATGTGTGGTATGTTCGGGTTATTTTGTAGAATAATTTTTGAATTTTTCCAATTTTTGAAAGACGAATCAACTTTACTTGATTCTTTTTCGGTTCAACTTGTGGGTGGTAAATATTTCAACACCTTCCACTCGGACACTCCCGCTGCGTTGACTTGTCAGTCCTCGAAACTCTCAGCAAAATTTCGCAACACTTCAGAAACTGAGCAGACACAATATGCCAAGGATTTTTTGCTAACATGGACTTTCCTGTCCGCAAAAAACAGAGTGCCAAAAGGACATCGCTTTTTAAACCACCTTCACTCTTCAGCAATGTTTATTATATGAAAAAGCGATGAATAAAAAAATAAACATATGATGAAAGTGAATTTATACATTCATTTTTGTTCTTGAAAATTTACAACAAAAATATTAAACACTATTTATTAGATTGTTTATTTACAAGAATAATTTTATATTTACAACATTCTGGAAACTAATACATTTAGAATTAATACAATTCAATATTTATTTGTGGTAAAAATGAAATAAAATATATAAATAAAATCATAATGAAAAAAAAAAGAAATACATTTTCCCATGATGCACCGTTAGTTGTTATTGATGAAGCATATACAGGTAAATCGCACCCTAAGTTAACAGGTTCCAGAGATCACGACGTTGGTTGAAAAACGAGTTAAGTCGAAATAGCTACACTATAAACGGTAAATAAGAATTACCCATTACCTATTACAGTTATGTACGTACAGCATTTTAAATGAAATAATTAAGTAAAAACCAATTTTAAATTTACGTAAAGTCGTGTAAAACGGCCTAAGGCGTGTTTTATTTTTCCATATAATATTTAAGAAAAACCGGCGTAACTTCGAAAATGACTTAACTCAAAATGACTTATGGCGAGGTATCACTGTATTAAAGACAAACATTTCCTGTCTCACTCTCTTTTCTTCTCTTTTGCTCGTGGAGGTTCAAATAATTTTAAATCCCAAGCAGTACCTCTTGGGGTGGAGGCTAAGTTTATTGCACGGCGCTTGAGGCGTCCCACAAAAGGAGAAATGCCGAGGGGACTTCGGCTTTTTTTTTTTTTTTTTTTTTTTACGGTATTGCCGTTTAACCCACTTTAAACCTCGGCCTTGTGTCACATTCGGTAGCGACGTGGGCGCGCTGAAAACTATCCTCTTTTTTCCTCTTTGCTTCAAGATGTAATTACCACGTGGTAATTATGTTCCTACTTTGGAATGTAAGTTTCCAGTCCATTGACGACTGAACTCTTTTCCACTTTCCAACCACGTTGACAGTGAATTGGTTGTTCCAACTCAGCGCAAAGCTGACTTGAGTTAAACCATTTTTATCCTAACTTACTTCTGAACCAAAAATGAAAACGGACATACTCAAAAGACATTGAGAACTTTATTCACTACAGTCATCACAAAAGGAATAAACGTCTGTAGCAGAAACTCTTGTATGCTTCTATTTTCTTTGTTCACATATTGAACATGTAGTGTGTTAGTCAATCTGTATCGGTGACAAGTACAAATTAAACTGACCCTCTAGTATTTTTACTAATATCAACAAAGACAACAACAAGAGAAATAATCAAATAGGCAGATATTTGTTTTAACAGAAAATATATTTATATCACAACAAGTACACACGATATAATAATGTTGTGTAAAACTTTAGAGTTCTTGGTTGTGTGGTCAAGGTAATATAAAAGGTGTTATGGTATAGATCTGGTAAGGAATTAAAGAGTTTATGTTGATGATGAAACTGAATGAAATAGATTGCTAGATTTGTCTCGCTTCGATTGATAAAGTTACGATTTCCTTTATGTTGTTAAGCTATTGTGTGAGTGGGTTTCTGAATCTTGTCTTTGTTGAATTCGTCATTAGGTGAGTTGATGTTGAAAAGAAATTGAATTCCACAAGCATGGTTGATGTTAATAAAAATTAACTTTTAGCGAGGAAGTTGGGTTTCATGGATTCGTGTGACAAGTTGATTATTTTAACGACTCACTGATTAAGTTGTGTCGAAGTTTCATATTTATGAATTTTCTAGATCACGTGGAGAACGTTTACATTTTTTTGGCGCGTTGAACTCTGAACAGGTCAACTCGAGGTCAACCGTACGGACGTAGGCAGAAACATAACATTATTACTTATGGACCAATCAGAAAGCATTGTTTCGTACTAAACTCTTGGAGCCGATTTTAATGGGTTCAGCACAAACTGAGAATACTTAGCTGTGATCCTCTTTTAACAGGTTTAAAACACAGAATGTAGAAATCTAATTCTACAAACTAAACACGTACCTTCACCTAAAATACACACAAACACACAACCTGTTAAATTACACAAATTTATAAATTTATAAAGATAAATGTGAAAAAAATTATTCCTAAATTTATAAGCATTTACCTATTTATTAAAATATGTGAATCAACGGCTAAGGAAATCCTTATTATTTAACATTTTATAAAGTATGAATGAATCAATCAATTGACAATTAGCCGGCGTTTTGCCAACTATTCCAATAAAGAATATAATAAATAAATAGTGTAAATAAAAATCTAATAAATGAATAGTGTTTATTATTTCATATGTTCTATTCTAATAGTTTCTTCTCTTGCACTTCTCATCTGTGGAACTTTCTTCCAGATCCTTGCTTTTCTGTTAAATATTATCTTTAAAAATTTAAATGCAATATCATTCGTCATTTTCCTGAATCCTTTCGTCACAGTAACGATTTCTCAGTTTCTTTCAGTCTCAGCAACCTTTTGGGTATTAGTGCCTTTATCGTATTGCTTAGAGTATGATTTTAAAAAAATGTTGAAAAAAATTATTATTATTATTTTTTATTTTTTTATTTTTACTAATACGGACATTCTATACTGAAGAAACTTTTACCTCCTTCACCGGCCCACCTTGCCGGTGTCTAATGTCAGCCGGCAACAACTTACGCCATGCACTACTAAAATTTAACCATGTGTAAACAAGAAAAATAAAATGTTACTTCTTGTGTATTTGTAGGTGGTGTACAGTTTATTATTCATATTCATTTGGATTCTTGTTTCTTTTAGTGTAATTTCATGTTGATAAATATTCTCATTAAGACTTTCTCATAAAAATGGACAACACAAATGAGGATAAAACTAAAAGCACCAACGATGCAAGTCCGTTTGATACGTCAAAATATAAATCCTCTGAACAGAGTGAAGATCACGGATATTATTTTTATCCAGAAAGAGGAAGCACCAAAGTTAAGACATTTTGGGAAAATCTCTGGACTGAAGGTCGAGGGAAGAAATTCAAATGTGAAGCTAATGTGACTTGGTGCATTGAAAATAGTAAGTTTACTTTATATTTTACTACTTAAACGCGCGCTTTATTGACTGATCTCAATAATTCAATATCATGAGGGTACAATCCGATATTGTGGTCCAGTTTGTATTACGACATTTCTTGATCCTTTTTTATTCGTTAAGAACAGTGTCAGCTTCGGATACATTCCCGATGTGGAGGCTTCGGTAACATTTAAAAAATGTTTTTGCTCGATTAAAAAAAAAAGAAAGAAAATTGTCACTATGTTTGTTTTTTGTTCGTAACTGATTTGCGAAATCTTTGTTTTATAGAAAAAAATCATTATTCAATTTATTTTGTAATAAAAATAACATTTAAAGAACTTGACAGACGAAATTTATTTAATAGTACTAACTGAGCTGGACATAATTGAAGGCAAGAGAAGGTACTTTTTATTTGCAGTAAATAAATGACAAAGGAGCGGCATTTAAGTGACAAAAGTTACTTAAAGTAACGAAAATTGTGGAGAGCCGTGATCGCCCATGTCCCGAAAGAGTTGATAATTAAGCTGACAAGAACAATTAATAATTACTACATTGTGTAACTACATACACATATCGCATTCAACGTTATAATTTTTAGCCCCTTAGAATAACTAAATATTTTTATTTTTGATGGACAAAGAAACGGTTTTGATCCCAAGTCTATTTTTGAGGGGTGGGGCGTGGGGGTATACGAAAATGACCTTGGGAAGGACATGGATTTTCTGTTATCGTTATTCATTGATGTATGTTTTATTTTTCTAGAAGTAAAATATTTATCATTTACAAAACAAGAATAAAGACTTATTATTCATCATTCTGTATCATCCTTTTTTCGCCATACCTTATATTTTTTGCCTTGTTTGCTTAGTATAAAAAAATAATTAAGACCCCTGAATCATGTTACTTTAGTTCTGTTTGATAACAACCGGGACAAACGGATTTAACGAGGGAAGTCTTATTTGGCTTTTGTGAAAAAAATTAAGAAGAGTGTTTAATGAATAACGTCCACTTTTACTTAGAATAAGTTTTGTTTTTTTTTAACACTAAGCACATGCATTGATAGCAGGTGAAATTTTAGCGTTCGTTAAGCCAAATTATGAAGGGGAGATAATTTACCAATATGGGAGAATTATTTGGAGTTTGTGATTAAAAATTACAGGTTGTTTAACCAGCAGTTAGGCTTGACTAATTTTATAATTTTGGGTAGACTAATTGACACTCAGCTCCAACATAAAACCAGTTTTACCTAATCTTGACAGAAAAAAATAAGGCAAAAAAAATTTTACAGAAATTTTTTTAATGTTTAAAAAATCGCATATTAAGCTTATCGTTCCAAAAGATTTCTGCCTCTCAAATACGGAATTACCTCCCTTACATTTCATTGATTATTTGATATAAAGAGAGAGCTATGGAAGAAAGTTTTAATTCTTCCATTTTTGTACTTGCCCTGTTATGAGCATTATTATATCCGTGATATAACGGTGTAATTCACAGACAGAACGGAATGGCTGAAATGAAAAGGAATTGCAAAAATTTTTGGTTCTCAGAGAGACTTTTATACTACTAAAACATAGAACGAATACATTGAGTCAATAACTTCATTCACCACAAGGAAAGTCGGCTCCCTGTTCAGTGCCAGGAAATTTTTATCACCGGAGTCAATCCTTCAAATCTACAAACTAACCATTCGCCCTTGCATGGAGTATTGCTGCCATATATGGTCTGGTGCCCCTTCTGTTTGCCTCAAGGTCCTCAATAAAATCCAAAGACGGTTATGCAATGTAATTGGCCCTGATCTGGCATCTCATCTGCAGCCGCTCTCTCACAGGCGTGCCATTGCTTCCCCCTGTCTTTTTTACAAGTACTTTCATGGTAACTGCTCTGATGAGCTGCTTTCTCTGGTTCCCAGATTTCATGAATTTAAGCATTCAACTAGGCTGGCATCTCACTCTCACCCTTTCACTGTCAAAACTGTTAAATGTAGCCATCTCTTCTACTCCAATAGCTTCATGTCTCGCACTTCTCGCCTATGGAACTCCCTCCACATTTCTTGTTTTCAGCTATAATCTCCCACTATTCAAATGTAATGTCAATTGACGTCTCCAGATGCCCTGATCTATCCCCTAACCTTCTCTTCATCCTTTCCTCTATCACTCCTCTTTGCTCTCACTCCAACTCTCTGTAACCCCTTGCATGCTAGTGGCTTCCCACCTTGCTTGGGGTTGAATTGATTAAAAAAAAAAAAAAAACATGCACAAAAAAACTATATGTATATACATATATACACATGTCCCACATGGAGAACCATATATCATATTTACAGAACAAGCAGAGTGTAAGAAGAAACAATAAGGAGTGGTCTTGCATATAATATGGCGATACTTCTGTGTCTGGAGAAGCCATGTTTAGGACTCCAGATTCATATATGTTCCAGGCGAGGACATATCCCACTTTAGCAAAATCCCTCAATGGGGAATGCTAAGAGAGAGTAAAGGAATAAGACCTTACTAGATAAAGGAGTAATGAAACCCAAGAAGCAACAATCTATTACTTCAGCCCAACAATAGCAATTGACAGATGTAAAAAGAAATTAAATCCAACCTCAAAGGTTCAAAGAGATTATGAATATTGCAATAGATTGCCAGTTGAGACCTAGGGTAGGTTTTCCCATCTAAGGTCTTGTAAATTTTCAAAGTTAAAAAAAAACACTGTAGAAGTAATAACTCCAATGGAAAAAAAACTCTAAAAACTGCAGCAAAAAAGGACTGCTTTTAATAAGATAGAAAAATATGGCATGTGACTCTCATAATTTACAAGATGCCCCAAATTTGTATGAACAGTAAAATAAAAATGATCACAAGGTAGGCAGGTGTTTTTTTTTTTTTCCTCTTATTATTCCTCTTCTACCAGGACGTAGGTGATCATGGCTCTCCACTTCCCCCTATCCCTTCTAGCTCTCAATAAGTTTTGTCCCTTTGCTACTTCTCCTAGACTCTGTTCTGTCATCCACTTGCCAGGTATGTCATGTGTTGCTTTCCCTTGTTTCTCTTTCCCTCTATTTGACCTGTGAGTATCAGATTCTCCAGGCCCTCCTTTCTCATTACGTGTCCCAGAAATTTCATCTGCCTCTTCCTGATGTTAAGTATAAGCTCCCTCCTTGTTTGCGTCCTCTCCAAAACCTAATTGTTGCTCACATGCTCAGTCCATGATATCCTTAGCATTCTTCTGTAAAACCATATCTCTATTGCTCTAGTCTCTTCTTCATCTTTGAGGAGACAGTCCAACATTCATTGCCGTAAAGGAGGACAGATGTCACATAGTAGGTCAGTACTCTTTTCTTTGTTACCAAAGAAATCCTCCTGTCTCGCAATACTCTGGCCAGCTTTTGAAATGTGTCCTTGGCCATCCCAATATGTTTACAGATCTCAGTGCCGTACTTACCATCCTCCATCAAAACACTTCACAGATATTTTAAACTTCCGCACCTGCTTGATTTTAGTCTCCCTGACCTGCAAATTGCATTTCGGGAGCATCCTTTTACTGATGACCATGCATTCTGTCATCTTGTAGTTCATGTGCTAACAAAGTTAAAAATTAACAGACTAACTAAAAATAAAAACTGAACTTACCGTGGATTGGGCTAAAATTTCAGACACCTCTTACCTAGCCAACAACATCCAGTCCAGTAGCAAGATTGGATGATTTGAGGAACATTTTTAATTGCTGCTGTTCCCAGATCTACTCTGACCCCAAATGGTAGCACCTGTTAGGGTCCTAGCTATGGGCAAATAATGAACTCACAAACAGAAACAAAACACTATGAAAGAATAAAAATAAATTTTTATAGTAAAAATACCAGCAATATATTTTTATATGAAAAAAATTACTAACAGTACACAGTCATGGGTAAGACAATAAACTACATCCACATCCTGGGTAAGACAATAAACTACATTCAGCAGCAAGGCCTCTGATCAGGAGGTTTTGAGGAGTATGAAACTGCCTCTTAATTACTGATGTTCCCAGGCCCACCCTGATGCAGGGTGGTAGCACTTGTCAAGGTCTCAGCTATGGGCAAATAGTTACTCCCCCCACCCCAAGAGTCAAAACACTATGAAAGTGTATAAATAGGTTTTAATACCAGCAATAATTTTTTTGGAAAAATTATTACCAGCAATACATTTTTGAAAAAAATATTACCTGCAATAGACTCTATGGAATGGATGAGTGTGTGAATGTATGACTTATTTTTCGGTTAATTTTAGAGATAACATTTTTTAATCAGTTTATGCTCTTTTTCTTTTGTCTGATACATTTGTGTTTTACTAGAAACAAGAAATATTGAAATTGCTTATACTTTTTTTTTTTTTTTTTTTTTCATTCAGACCCAATGGTAAAATTAATGATGAGAGCTTTGAAGAGCCGTGGTTGGTATGTCAAGTTTTTTGGATTTATGGATCTTGCTTTTTAAGGCTCATTTCTTGTTGATTGTGTTTTAAATAAATTTTACAAATTTTGAATGAAAATATATCAAAGTGAAAATAATATAAAGATGTTCACTACTGATTCCTGTTATAAAAACAAAAAATTTTTTTGGGAAGTTTTGCTTAATTTATCGTGTGCTGGAGTGAGGACAGTTTTTCATAAGTTCAGATCTGCCTTACAAATCATGTCTTCTGGATGCATGCCTTACAAATTGTGTCTTCTCAGTAAATCTTGTAAAAATACATGCATTTAATATTGTGCATTTTTATTTAAATGATTTAATATTTTTAAAAAAAGAAGCAGGATTACTTCCTTTCAGAAAACTTTCAAATTTTTTTTTTGTACTTGTGAAAAAATAATAATATTTAAATTTAAATTAGTTACTAACAGGATGTGCAAGCGATGTAATGGGTAATGGCTTTGGTTAAGAAATTGGAGCACTGAGTTTAAATTCCACTTGGGTTCATTACTTTCACTTATGTGAAAATACTCTTGATAAAGGTATGAATCCATCTCCTCCACCAAATTGGGGTTAAATAGTAGAACTTGTATATGGAAAAACCAATCTTATTATCAAAAAAAGTTCATGCAATATTCACTCACAAAAAACAAATTATTCTTGCAATTCAAAAATATATTTCAGCTTTAAATAACCCACAAAGGTTGATAAATCATAAAAAACAAGTCAACCAATCAATTAGTCACTGAAAATTTAATTCTTTCATTTTTTTTTATTTTTTTTTTTGTTTTTATCTGTCAATCATCATCTCATTTTGTTTTTAATCAATTTTTTACTTGAAAATATTCATTGCTTCCATATGTCGTCCTGAAATTACAGTTATAATTCTGAGCACATTGTCTTCATTTTGGGGAAATATACTCTAAGCCAATGATTCCCAATGTTGGGTGCATGCCAATGTCAGGCATTCATAGGATGTGCACCCTTCGGCTTACTATACCAATGTGACTCAAATTTCATTTTGTATTATTATTTCATGATTAAAATGATCAAAGTATATTACAGAATAAACTTTCATTCAAATATTTTATATTTCTGCCTTTCAGTTCTCTATTATGTGTTTTAAAACTATTCAACTGTCTTTTCATTTTTTTTTTTAAATTTTCTCTTTCATGGATGCCATGGTCTTTGGAGACTTGTTTAGCGACCAAGTTAATGGCTTTTTAAACTTCCTTCATGTGAATTGCAGTAAAATTTTGAATATGTAAGAATTAAATATTACAAAGGGGTACCAGAATTTTAGAAATACCAAAGTGGGTCATGGCCCAAAATAGGTTGGGAACCACTGGTCTAGATGATTAAACATAGAATTTTAACATTTTTAAAAATAATAAATTTTTTTTTTATATACAAGGTATAATTCAAGAGATCATAAGGCAAGAGAAATAAACCACCAAAATCTGTTCTTTATCCAAAAGACGTGATACAGTGTATCTGGTGGGATTACAAGGTGGCTCACTACTATGAGTTTCTATTACGAGAGGTGAATGATTGAGTCAAATAAGTACTGCTACCAATTAGACCAACTGAAAGGAAATAATTGATAAAAAGCATGCATCCAGAATTAGTTAAGAGAAACGGTGCAGTATCCAATCAGGATAACACTAGACCACATGTTTAATTTTTGGTGATCAGGGGAAAAAAAACTGTCCTGGGTAAGATGATAAACTATGTCCAACAGCAAGGCCTCTGATCAGGAGGTTTTGAGAAGCATGGAACCACCTCTTAATTCCTGGTGTTCCCAGGTCCACCCTGACCCGCAGTGGTAGCACCTGTTAGAGTCCCAGCTATGAGCAAATAGTTAACCCCCAAACTGGGGTCAATACACTATGAAAGTGTAAAAATACGTTTTAATACTAGTAATAAATTCTTTGAAGAAAACGTATTACCAGCAATTTAACAGCAATACATTTTAAAAAAAAATATTACCAGCATTAAATAACCCATTGAGTTTGGTATGCCATAAAACAAAACAAACCAAACCAAATGGAAAAAAAACTGTTTAAGCCTTGTTGAGATGTTTTGACACCTCCACCATATCCAGCAGTTATTACATCATTAGATTACTATTTATTCTTGTCTTTAGAGAATTCTGCTAATAAAAAAGTTTTGATTTCCTCAAAGGCTGCATATGAATCAAGAACAATTTTTACAGCAATGTTTAATCTTCATGCTAACAAAAAAAGTATGTCAAAAAGACAGTTATTCCCTTAACACTGCTATTACACTGTTGTTTTTTACACCCTCAGCAATGCTTATTTCAACTCCTTTATATGCCATCTCCCCTCTTGATGTAGGTGATTATGATCCTCCACAATTTCCTGTCCTTTGTAGCTCTTAATAAATTCTGTCTTTCTGTTATTTCCCCATAACTTTATTCTGCCATCCATTTTCTCAAGCTCGTATGTTATGCATTGTTTTTCTTTGTCCCTCTTGCATTCCCTCTGTCCTGTGAGTAACAGATTCTCCAAGCCCTCCTTCCTCATTATGTGCCCCAGGAATTTCAAATGTTTCTTCCTGATGTTATAAGTTTCCTTTTTGTTTCCATTTTCTCTAAAAAGTCGTCATTGCTCACGTTTGGTCCATGTTATCCTCAGCATCCTTCTGTAGAACATTTCTGTTGCTTCAAGTCTCTACTTCTTATTTGAAGAGATTTTCCAGCAGTCACTGCAATACAGGAAGACAGATATCACATAATAGTTTAGTACTCTTTTCCTTTTTTCTAGCAAAATTTTCCTGTTTCTTAATACTCTGCTTAGCTTTTGGAATGCATCTTTGGCTATCCCAATATGCCTTCGAATTTCATTGTCACAATTTCTGTCCTCAAAAGATTATAAAAAATTGTGAACCAAGTACAATGTGATTGTTATTATTTAGCATTTTACAAAGAAAGAAATTTGAAAAATCATTTTATTAAAAAATTTATAAAAATGCATTATTTGTGGTAAAAATTAGACATTCTGTAATTTAACACAAAGAAAACTCTTTCATCCACTGAATAGCGAGATACACAGTGAAAATATTGTGTTTGTGATCTCATCTAAAATTAAAAGAATGTTTGATTCAGAGGAAGAGGTGCTCTCAACCTATTTTAGTGAATTTATGCAGTGAAAGCAAATGAAAGAAAAGCCCAGAAAATGCATTTTTTTCAAAATTTATAATTAGTTACTTTTCATTGTGTTTATTTAGTTTTTCTTGTTCAAACATTTTTATAAATTTATGCATAAAAAAAAATTCTTTTCATATTCATGTTGTCATTTCTCAAGAACAAAGAAAAAGTATAAATGAGTCTTGGGTTTTCACAAATTGGGGACTGTGGGCTGGAGTTTCATTCTGTATCTGGGGAAAGATATGTTCCCAAAAGGGAAATAGCACCATTGACTTGTAAATTGCAGGGAGGCAGATTTAGCCTCAGCCCATGCCAAAGGGCCCAGGCTAAAAGAAAGTAACCTTACGTGGTGGCTGTTGAAAAATAACACATCGTTTTCGTCACTGTATAGAGTGACATCATTAAGCAGCCATGATGTAAGGGAGATAAGCACCTTCTGTATTCTTACACTATTTTATAAAGAAATAAATTTGAAAAGAACTACAAAATTATCAAGATATGTAAACCAGCAACAATGAAATATTTGGAGTTAAAATTACAGAGATTCTGTAATTTAAACACAAAGAGAATTTTGTCCAGCCAATGAACGGGGAGATATACTCAATATTTTGAGTGTTTGTGATCTTGCTTAAAAACCATAATTAAAAGAATGTTTGATTCAGAAGGAGAGATGCTCTCAATTATTTTAGTGAATTTATGTGATGACAGCAAATGAAGAAAATGCATTTTTAAAAATTTATAATTACAGTTTCTCATTGTTATGTGTTTATTTAAACTTTCTTGTTCATACATTTTTTAGAAATTTCTGAATAAAAAAATTTCTTTTCATATTTTTTTTCTTTCTATAAAATGGTAAATAATATTTCATTATAATTGGTTCACAGATTTTTATGATCGTGTTTAACATCTTTATTTTCAATTCCCAAGAATAAAGAAAAAAATAAATCCATTTTCCTATGTTTGAGTTTTATTAAAATTCTAATCATCACTTTTTAAAACAATAAACATTTCTGAGGGTGTAAAAAGAAATGATGTGATAGTGGTGTCAAGGGAATAACGATCCTTTTGACACACTTTTTTCTTCTTTGTGCACAGAAAGGTTAAACATGACCAATTTTCCTTTCAGAAAGATTAAAACTTCTGAGTTGAGGAAATTATGAAGTTGGTTTAAAGTTAGCAGACAAGTGTGGAGAACAAACAGTAAATATTTTGTTCAATAAAAATACAGGTCAGTGCCATTAAGCCACGCACCAATAAACCACAATGTCACTTAAGCCACATATGCGTGATGGACTCCACCACCCCCTAATTTTTTTGTTATTTTCATATAAGAATCCTAATCATCAGTGGATCCCAATTTGAAACAAATTAAAACTTGATTGTGACACTTTTTAAAATCTGATTTTTTTTTTTCTGTATAATCTTTTATTTTAATAAATTCATTAAATTGTGTTTTAGTACCTTCAGTATATCTTTATTTTCCCCAGGCATTTACTATTTTGGCTTTTCACACTCAAGACTGTGTAGTGGTTTGGATTAGCACTTCATGGACAATTTCAGTGTGAAATATGTCGCTTACAACCTTTATCCTAACTTAAAAATTTCACATATTTACTCAACGGGATTTGCTTTAATATCGATAATGTGCTTTTTCAAATAATTTATATAATCTGCAGAGAAGAGCCATTTTAAATCCTAAATTTTAAGGGTTATTAATGGAGGCTTCCATTGCAGCCAAATAACACCTTTCAACTTTTCCAAAAAGTTTCAAAAAGTCCATAAATCCCCTCACATTAAATTTTTGTGTAAATACAGGCAAAAATGAAAAGTTTTGCACAATGTCTCTCTAGATATCACATTTTTAGACCTAGATATTTACCTATCATCATTAAATGTAAACACACTTCATACAGTGATCAACAAACACTGTGCTTGTATGTAGATGTTACTACATTGTATTGTTATATTATTTTTATTAATACATTATGATACAATGTATTGTAATGTTTTTTACAAAATCTTAATAAAACTACAAAAAAATTAATTTTATTTTTTTTTCTTGTTAAAATCTCCTGTGTACAAGATTTCCACCATCTTTTGCTGTCATCAATGATGGATCTATTGACATGGCGTTTTATAATTGAAATCATTTTAGGTCATCGTCTTTCAAATATATTCACATTGGTGCAGATTTTTATGTGAAATTAAAGTATAGTTTCAATAAATGTTTTTCAAAACTGCCAATATTCAACTTTTAGTATTGAATACACATTTTGCATGCTTAGCCACTGTGTTACCCATTTTCATGGATAACTCCATGGACTTGAGAAGCCTTGTTTTAGTGGTTTAAGCTGGCAATCCTGACATCATGGCTCACTTTTGATCTAAACTGGACAGAAGTTTTGAACCCCAACTGCTACAGTTTATCGGTGCCGACCTGTAATATGCAAAATAAAAATGAGAAGCAGTTGAAAACATTTTAAAATTCTACTTGAGTGTTAATTAGTCTATCACCCAGAACAAGAAGTGTCTTTGGAAATAAGATTCCCTAATCAAAATCAAATCATCCTTTGTTGGCACGCTCTGGCAGTGAAATCTTTACTTCTGTGGACATTATAAATATTTCTCATGACTTTTGAAACTGATGAACTGTTTTTGACTTCATGAAGGATGCAATATCTCAAATGAGTCACATTGATTCAAAATTTATTCACTTTGACATTAACCTTTTAGCATTCATCATGGGACACGTTTCCAGGTTCACCCTGACCTGAGCGCTATTAGTCCCAGTTATGGACAAATAGTGAACTACCAAACAAAAACAATTCACTATGAAAATATAAAAATATATTTTTATAGTGAAAATACCAGAAATAGCTTTTATATATATATAAAGCTATTGCTGTTAATTTATATAATATATATATATATGTGTGTGTGTGTGAAAATATATAGAAAATAGGAAAGAACTCGTTAGGTAAATAATCCAAAGTTCTTTAGTATTTTTTTTTTTTATTATTATTATTTTTAAAAAATAGTACTTGATACAAAAGTAGAGCATAAATATAATTATTTATTTAAAAATATGATTCCAACATGCTACATAAGAGTTCTCATGTTTCAAAACAAGAGCCGAAAACTTCAATACAATTATTTGAATTAAATTGAATGAAAATACTAAGCTCTGTTCCATCTTCAAGTGAAAAAAAAATTTCGCTTGAAATATATAAAAATTGCCAGCAATAGCTTTTTATATATATAAAAAAATTACCACCAATGCATATTTGTAGTAAAATTACCAACAATACAATTTTAAAAGTAAATGATTAGCAATACATTTTATCTATACTTGAAGGCGTACAATTGTGTTCAAAATAAATTTAGTTGAAGCCATAAAATTGTGTTCAAAATATTTAGATTTTGGCTTGAAATAATCCATAGATGTTAATATGCCACTAAAGAAAATCAACCAACCAACTTTAGTATTCAACTCGCCCCATGAACAACAGCTCTCAATATTCAACCCACCATAACCTGACCCCATGTATACTCTGTCGTAACATATGATGACATCATTGCAAATAATACATTAAGTCATGCAAACAATGAGATTTTGAGAGCCAATATTTACAAGGTTTGACTGTAATGAATGATAAAAGGTTAAATATTCATGAAAAACCGGAAACCGGACAACAACTGTAGACTTGAAAAGTCACATTTCTTGAAAAACTGCTATTGGACAAAGATTTTATAAATTTCAACTGATACTAGGCTAACTGTTTGGTTGATGAACACCTAATGTTTCCTGATCTCACTATTATCATTTCGGCAAACTTTTTCGTTTATGGAAGTTTAACTTCTAAATCTCGTATATTTTGAAGCAAATTCATCCTCGTGGAAATTCTTGATAAAATCCAAAGAATCTGCAATGTTATCAGTTGTGACCTGGCATCTCAGCTTCAATCACTTTCCCACTATTATAATGTAGCTTCCTTGTGCCATTTCTATAAATACTTTGATTGCAATTGTTCTGCTTTCCTCTTTGCTGCCTCGACTTCATGAATTTAAGCAGAGTACTTGATTGCCAGTTAGGTCTCATTATTTTACTATTTAAATTAATAAATGAAAGCATGAATTCTATTCTAATAGTTTTTCTTCTCTCACTCTTCTTGCCCGAGGAACTCTTTTCTGGCTTCTTGCTTTTCTGTCAACTACAATCTTCAAAAATTTAAATGCAACGTCAATCACCATCTTCTGTCTTTTTGAATCCTGTTCATTTATTGTTCTTTCTCCTCAATAACATTTTCCCTGTTGCTTTCACACTTAGTAAGCTCTTGTCTTAGTGGCTTTATTTCCTTGCTTGGAGTGTAATGATTAAAAAAAAGAAATATTTTCATTCCTATTTTGAAAATAATGACTAAATGTTTTTCTGTAACCAATGAACTTCTTCATCATAAGCAACTGATCAACTGGTTTGTTTTTTATGGATTATCAACCCTTTGTGGGTTATTTAAAGCTAAAGCTTATTTTGAATTGTAAAAATAATTTTTTTTCCAGTGAATATTGCGTTCAATTTTTTTTTTTTTTTTAGAATAACAGCAATTTTTTTCCCAGAGTGAAATCCTACTATTTAACCCATAGCTGGGGAAATGAGCTGCTATCCATTACAACACTCATACATCCACCATGATCTAATCTAAATGGCACAGCCACTCATATCCAAGGATGCCAGTCTAGTACAGTGGCTAGCTAATCCCCATTGCAGGTGCCTGCTCAAGCACATCTGTGTTTGTTCAACACCCACAGAGCCCACCTGTGGTTGATACTGCAACTATGCTGAGTGGACCTTAGTTACAGTTTCTGGGAGAAAGTGCAGTATCTAGCATGATCAACAGTCTGAAAAAGGCCAACATGCTCTAACCCTTGGTCACAAAGACTTGTGACTTCGTACTAGCACAACCACTGATGGTGGCCAAGGGTTCCATCTACCCAATTTCACTCACAAGGCTTGGGTCATCCTATGGTATGGTTTTCAGGCACTTTCTAAAGATGCCGCATGCTGAGATTGTCTCCTCCAGACTGATAACATCAAGGTCACCTACCTGAGAAATCAACCCGGGTGAGTTCCAAACCTGGGTCTCATGGTCAGAACCACTCGGCCATGTGCCCATGATATACAAATATTAATCACTATTAAGCATATTGATTACTTTCAGTTTTTGTATCTAGAAATTAATTTCTTTTTCTCTGCATTGTTTAAAATGATGCCTTTTTCTTGTATCTTTCAAGTGAAGTGAATCTAAGACGTCATATTGCATGTGAACCATGCATCGGTTATGTGAATGGTGGATTTGATCCAAGTGCAAATCAGGTAAAGTTTGTGTTAATGTTCGTGACCTCCTTGTGTGTAGCATTTTATCAAAACTGAATGTTCTCAATAATTAATTCTCAGAAGTTATTTTTTTTTTTAAATAGCTTTCATTTAACAAGGAAATTACCTTTTTGTTATTGTTTCTCCTCTGAAATCCCAAATACACCTGACAGCCAACCCAGGTAATTACGTGAAATCAGTTTTGATTCCAAAAGCTCTGTATTTCACTTGTATGGGCATTCATTTTCTTTTTCCTTCCGTAGGTTGTCTATGAATACACTAGATTTGAATTTAAAATGAATAAGCAGAAAATGTTTTCTTTGGTTTATTTGTGACTCACAGTTATAGACAATATTACATGAGCTAAGTCCTTTTTCTTTCTTCTCTTGTGTTATACAGTCATTTCTTTGAAAGAATAATAGAGCAGGCAAAGGTGCTAAATGGGCATTAAGACTAGTTCCTGAAAATAACCAAATTCCATAGACTGACTTAGAACCATTAAGAAACACATGCAAAATCAATGGCAAGAACAATGGAGCAGAAAAACCCTAAATAAAATCTCACCAACCCTCAGGAAGAACCTCTGCCATTATGAAAAATCCTGAAGGGAAGCAGTTACTATAACACAACTATTAATAGGTCACACTAAAAGTATGCATTGTTTCTTACTGAAACAATAAGAAGAAAACTATGCCCAACCCAATATATGATAAAACATTATCTAATTGAATGCATTGATCTTGATTCCAAAAGATACAATTTCTTCAAGACAAACAGCCTAAAAGAATTGTTTGAAAATATTAATATAAATAGAATTTGAACATTCCTGAAATCAGTTGGGTTATATCTGAAAATGTTAAAAAAAAAAAACAGATTGTCCATCTTGTAACAATATGATTTCTCACACATCCTTAAAAGTTAAGTAGATAAATTCATTTTCCTCTTAAGTCCACTTAATTATCTGAGTATTTTAGGAAATTCATCTCCAGTCCATCTTTGAGTCAACTTAAGTGTCTGCCTTTGGATTGGCGAACATAAAATGTTGTTAATGATTTTAAATAATCATAAAAGTAGTCCTTTCAAGAAGCTGACTATCCAAAAAGCTGAATGGGTGGTCTCTTGTTCTGGAACACAAAGAGACAGATAGGAGTGGTTAGACGCCAGCTAATATCCATATAAGAAGAGAGAGGCAGGAAGTTCGAAAGAAAGGGGTCCAGCTATCAGAGAAGTAGGTAGGTGACCAGTGAGTGAGCAGCCAGGGAGAAAGTGACTAGCGGAAATTAGGGAGATAGCAGTTCAGTCAAAGCAAAATGTAGCCAGCCGAGTGAGAATTCGTATTTTTGCTATTTCCCAACCAAAGAGACTTGAAAAGCAATTGTCATTATTTTTTCGTGAATTCGAATTTGGCCAAATGGACAAACCTGCACATGTAGCTAGTCAGGTGTATATGCAGACATAGCCGACCTTGGATGTCAGGTTAGGGAGTGACGGATGAGTGAAGCAATCTTCTCTAAATATAAAACAAAATAAATCAGTTTTGGAATAAAATGACTCTAAAGAGTTGATATGCTGTTAAAAATCCACTCCAACATTTTCAGATGTTGGATTGACCAAAATAAAAATCATGGCCTCAAAATGGATCAAAGAAGCCCTGTTTCAGTGTAATGCTAAATTTGTGGATAATGATTGGTTAAAAATCAGTTTTGGAATAAAATTACTCTAAAGAGTTGATATGCCATTAAAAACACACTTAAATTAAACAGATCTGCATATTCCGTAAAATGGCATTAGTGAATTTGTAATTGAAGCCGTTCTATAGATTTAAACATTTCAGTCATTGTTTATTTCATATATGTCAAGTTATAATCTATGTAATAAATGCAAATGTCAGTGTGTCACACTTTTTCAACTTTACACCTAGAGGCCATAGGCCAACTACATGAGCAAAATAAAAACATTCCTGGATGGATTCAGACCTGCAATCAAGAAATTTTGGATTTTCAAGCTTTCATTACTGCGATTTTTTTTTTTTTTTTTTTTTTTTTTTTTTATTTGATTTTTTACAACAAATTTTTTTGTACAATAACAATTTTTATAACTTGAAAATAAGTTTAGGAATAAGTGAAATTAATTGCAAAATCCAGCAAAAGTCACCCATTAAATAAAAATAATTGTTTATATGAAAAGTAAGGACCTACGTACATCAAATTGTTTTTAAATTAAGTGACAGCAGAAGAATTATTGTTGAAGTTTTAAAAAGTAAACTTAAATATTACTGCAATACTTAAATGCACCATCCTGGGTGTAATGATAAACTACATCCGTGTCCTGGGTAAGACGATAAACAACCTCTAACAGCAGGGCCTCTGATCAGGAGGTTTTGAGGAGTGTGGAACCACTTCCTGATTGCTGGTGTTTCCAGGTCCACCCTGACCCGGGGTGGTGGCATCTGTCATTTTCGTAAAAAGTTATTACCAGCAATGAATTATTGAAGGACAAATATTATTACCAGCAATACATTTTTGGAAGAAAAAAAATATTACCAACAATCTATTTTTGAAAAGAAAAAAAATTTTACAAGCAATGCATTTTTGAAGGAAAAAAATATTACCTGCAGTACATTTATGAACAAAAATATTAGCAACAATACATTTTTGGAAGAAAATATTAGCAGCAATAAAAATCTTGTCTGCATTAAATAACCCATTGAGGTTGATATACTGTAAAACAAACCAAATCAAACCTTTAAAGGAAGCAATCAATTTTGAGTTCTTCTGTAGTTTATTGATGCCTATTGCATCTACTCCTCCCTACCTATTATGATGAAGCCCTGATCAAGTGCCCTCCACATTAGCTAGCTTAAAGGCAACCAGATAGGTCGGCTTTTAAGCTAGTTTATAATAATTGTCAGATTTTCAAAATGTAGTTTAAAAATGTGGACATCGCTTACTTCCCTTTATATATTATTTACTTCCCTTTACTTCAAAACAACGAACTGATGTTGTAATCTTGGATGTACAGGTGGGGTAATGAATAACTGCACAGAATTAAAAAATCGGATATCTGAGTTCCAATTCCAGTTAACTCTCACAATAGTTCAAGTCACTAAACGACTTTTTATGTATTATGATGATTTAATCAGGGCCACTTCCTTGCTTCAGTTGGTTAGTTCTAATCTCATTGTGAAAATAAGGCTTCTGGTCATATCATATTTAAACACCGGTTGTCGTACAATCACCAAAGTTAAGCAATGTGAAATGTGGTAAGTGCCTAGATGGGCAACCACTTGGAAATACCAAGTGCTGTACGCTTGCATAAAATAGATAACAGCTTGGTATAATAGATAATAGCTCGGAATTGGAAATCGGAGAGCCACGTTCCAGTTGATTTCTTTATATTCACTTATGCACAAATAGCCTTGGAAAAGGCATGAATCCACCTCGTCTCCCCTTCACCCCAGCTATGGGTTAATTAGTAAATCATTGCTATCTCCAAAACATTCTTACAATCTAAAAATATTTTCTGGCTTTAAGTAACCTGCAAATGGTTGGTAAGCCAGAAAAAAAAAAATCATCATCGGAAAATATTGGCTTGCATCATAAAATCCGACATCCTATAGTGGATCAATTTATCACTTAAAAACGGTAGAAAACTGATCCCCCACTTTATGTCCAGTAGTGACATATCTTAATTTAACCAACTCTCAGCTCTATCGTTTGTATATGCTAGCCCAACATTTCTCATTCTGCAGCTTTAATTCAATTTCAGGTGGTGATATGTCAGAATACAGCTAAAAAGAAGTGGCAATGTTGCAATGTTCTTGCTCATGAGTTTATCCATGCCTTCGATTACTGCAGAGCAAAAGTCGACTTCATGGATCTTCGCCATTTAGCCTGCACAGAAGTAAGACACATTATTGTTTTTATCTTATAACATCAATACCATTTGCTAGTTAAAGGCAGTGCCTGTCTTGGAACATATGCAACTTTTTAAAAGTATTGCAATAACACTGGTCAACTTGATTTCTGGTGCAAAAAGACAAAACCCATTTTTTAACTAATTTTTTGGTGCCGATTCCGAAAATAACTTTAGTTTTTCATGGTTAGCTACCGTTTTTGCTATACTGAAATTACTCATTTTTGGAAAAAAGATCAATTTACAATCTTGGCTGATTGCAAAATTTAGTTAATAAAGGTCGTAGAAACCCATCAATTTTCAGGTAGGCTGAACAATTTATGTCAGCCACCTGAAATAAACTATTTTTATAAGGAAAAAAGTGTTTTTGAGTCAAACATTTTAAAATAGAAGTACCGAATTTTTCCAATTTATTGCCAAAATTCACATTAATTGATAAACTTTATCAGTAATACACTTTAGTAAACCTGATAATTAAGGTGACTTAAAAAAAATGAAACCCTAAAATCTTCTGTTTGATATTCATAAATTTATCCCATCACTTTTATTCCTTCACTACGGAAGGAAACCAAGCACATTGAGAACATTTTGTTTTCACAGTTGGAAAGAAACTCCAACTAAAGACATTCCAATTGAATGCACCTATTCTATTGTACATGATATTGATGGAATATAAAAAAGGGACTTAAATAACATTGAACATGACAGAAAATTTTTACCCTAGTTCTTATGTTCACAAAAGTTTTATTTCTGCTGTTAGTTTATTAAATGTTTTGATGAACATACTTGTTGGCCTTGGTATATTCAATAATGTTATTTTTAAAAACTTAGGGTCTGATTGTTATTGCAAAAATAGTATTTCTCAATAAACAGACCAATATTTGTTGGTTTAAATATGAATTGTGAGGTTTCTATGATTTTATTTTGAGAAATATTGCCATCAGTCAGTATCATATATGAAAAAAAAATGCATTTTTTCCAAAAATGAGTCATTTCTGTACAACAAAAATGGTAGCTAACCAAGAAAAAGTAAGATCATTTTCAGATTCAGCGTCCTCAAATTAGCTAAAAAAGGTTCAACCATTTTCTTTTGATTTCACGATATTGTTGTGTACATTTGTTTTATGTACATAATACTACCGTCATGTCCACTATCCAGAACAACCTATCCCATCTAAATAATCTTAAAATAGTCACAAACACTTCCAAAACCATTATGGATATACTCAGATCTTCAAACACTAATAGCAATAATATTTCTGAAGCAGGCATTTATAAAATAAATTGCCAAAACTGTTCCTCCCAATATATGGGAGAAGCAAGTAAAAATTTTAAAAAAATATGCATTTATGAGCACAAAAGAGACCTCCCAAAAAACTTAGCTAATGTACTAGTCATACATAGAAATAAATTCCACCAAAATTTTGATTTTAAAAATGCTACATTCATAAAAAAAAGAAAATAACTCACTCAGAAAATCCTAGAGAGTGCCGCCATTGAAAATTACCCGAATATTAATCTACACTCAGGCTTTTTCCCTATTTCACCTTTCTTAACAGAATTACTACTCTCCAAAACAAACGTACACAACAATATCGTGACATCAAAAGAAAATGGTTGAATCACAGCAACACAACAATAAAAACAATATCTCCACACGTGACAGTAATTAACGTAATTTTCAGTTAACAGTGTGAAAATAGCGTTCTCTAAATTCTTTCAGTTGCTAAGGACATTTTGTTTTTGTTATTATTAGTTACTTTGTTTAAATAAATTCATTTTGTTTTTTGCCTTGAGAAAGTCCACATTGGACGCAATGCGTCGGCAACTATACAGTTTTCCTATTGTCATTTATATTTATAAAGATTTTCTTTTCTACAGGTTAACTGAGAAATTATCATACTTCAATAAACAAAAAGTTCAACAGAAATCTAGATTATTGTAATTAAATAAACAAAATTCTGTAAATAAAAAAAAAACAAGAAAAAGCAAAACCCACCATCACCATTTACTGAAATTCCCCATTACAGGGGCATTACCCCCTAGCTTAGAATCTCCTATTCTACCTACACATCCAACAGTCGATGCTTACCAATATTCAGCTGAATTTGTTTTTTGAATCAAAATAGTGCAATATTTTTAAGTTTAGTTTTTAGTAATCCTTATTTCAATTTCAAACATTTTCTTGAATTTCATTGGTTAAATATAAAATAAGCTTTGAGAAATTCCCATAACAAAACAATCAAATTTTGTGCAAAAATAGGCTCAACTGATTTAAAAAAAAAAATTCTTTCTTGAATTCATCCCTAATTTAAATGTTTCAAGAAATCCCATTGGATAAAAAATAAAAAATACAATCTCACCCACGCATTTCTGAGAATTATTGGCAACATCTGGCAAACTTTTGTTGAGCCAATTTAGTCGTTAAGAAAACTATAAATAGAAATGACGAGTGAGTTTTTGGCACATGGAGATTTATTCACATGCAGAAAGATATTTATACACACAAAAGAGATACAACTCAGAGAGACACTAAGAAAACTTAATTCTTATACTGCATTTTGAAACAAACTTTCTTTGAGTGATTAGGAAAATTTATACTACAAACTTTACCATTCAATATCTTTCATAGAAAAACTTTTTGTCTAATTTGAATTTAACCTTTAGAGTAAAAGGCGGACAATTTTTACTTACTTTTGTCATTGAACATTTCTGAAGCAGTAAAGAACTTTTACTCTTAAATATACTCTCACAAACATCATTATAAAACAAAAAAAATTGTGTATATAAAAATTAATTTATTGTTCTAAACTTGTCCCTTTTGTCGTAATTGAATATCATTACCATTTGACCCTTTTTTTATAATTTATGTTTGTGGATATTGCATGTTTTATTTGCAGCACAACTTTAAATATTCACGCAGCCTTCCTAGATCCACAACAAGTTCATAATATTTTAATTAGATAACGGAATTCATGATAGCCAAATTACATAAAAATATTAGATGGTGAAAGGTTGTCCCAAAATCAGTAATTCAATGACCAACATCAGAATACTGATTTGGGGGAATTGGGACGGGAACTTTTCAGCACCTATTCGTGGTTTTTTGAAAATGCTGTACGTTTTATTTTGACAATTATTTATTTTTTATTTTTAAGATTCGTGCGGCTAATTTCATGCATTGCTCATTCATGGCGGCCTTTTCTGCAGGAGTTACTTCCCCTGTGAACATCAAGGAAAAGCATGCAGTAAGTCTTAGAAAAGCAAAATTTTACTTCTCGTTGTCCTCACTAACAACATTTAACTTTCTTTAAAGCAAAGAAAACTGATTTTCTTATACCCCCCCCCAAAAAAAAAACACTTTTTCGCTTAAACATTAGCATATTTGAAAAATATTTTCTAATTTAAATTGAGTAAATTTGCAATAAAAAAAGCAACTAAAAATGATGAAAGTATATACTAGTAAAGAAAAAATTTATTAGTACTTGTCAATGTTTTATCTAAAAAAAAAAAAAAGATAAAGTTATTGATAAGGATAAAGATATTGTTAAGGTGTCAAATGTTTCTTATTTTGGTAAAAGTAAATCTAAAAAAGGTTAAAATATCAGATGGAGTCATAAATAATTTCCGTTTTTGCTTATCAACTTTATTTTTCAAAAGATAAAGTACAAATACATTTTATTCAGTCACATATTCGCCATTATTTGCAATGACTTCTTGCCACTTATCAAGTAGCACTTTCGTATCTTTTGAGTAAAATTCCACAGGTTTTGATGTGAAAAGGTTTTCGACAAACTCTTGAATCTGGTTTTCATTAGAGAAAGTTTTCCTCATTAAAGTAGCAATTGAAAAAAAAAAAAAGGTAATAATTGGTTGGTTCAAGGCCAGTTGAATATGGCAGGCAGCGTAGAATAAACCAAGCGAGTTTCAAAATCTTTTTTCTGTCATTCTTGCTGTATGTGGATTTTCATTGTCATGGAGGAGAAAAATTTTATTTATATTGATGAGCTGCTGGGTGTATAAATATGTTTTATTACATTTTAAGTATTCTCAATTAATAATATCGAAACGATTCCACCCCACACACAATATTACCTTTCCTTCAATGAGCTTAGCTTTTGTGGGTCGGTTTATCAGTATCAATTAACCCTTGGGGTTGAACATTATTGTATGTAATCCATTTTTCGTCGATGTTATAATATATTTAAGGAAAACTTAATAAGTTTGATACATTTGACATTACAATTATTTCTTAAAAAAAACAAAAAAAAAAACACCAAAAATTTATTTTCTATTAGGTTGAGTCATAAACAATTTCCGTTTTTGTTTATCAACTTTATTTTTCAAAAAATAAAGTACAAATACATTTTATTCAGTCATATATTCACCATTATTTGCAATGACTTGTTGCCACTTATCAATTAGCACTTTGATATCGTGAGTAAAATTCCACAGGTTTTCATGTGAAAAGGTTTTCAACAAACTCTTGAATCTGCTTTTCATTAAAGCAGCAATCGAAAAAGGTAATAATTGATTGGTTCAAGGTTAGCTGAATATGGCAGTTGGGGTAGAAAAGACCAAGTCAGTTACAAAATTTTGATCGTGTGTTGTTTTTGCTGTATGCCCTGCCTTGCATTGTCAGGGGGTGGGGGACAACATTTTTGCTTTCATCCACTGTGTACGCTGACATTGGCGTGCAAAAACTATGTTAATGTACTCTAAATTGATTCTTAATTGCCACGTATGATTAGTAGTTAGGACAATACATTTGTTATTACAATTGGTTACCGAAAACAGAAGTTACTTATGACTTAACCTAATGTTTTATTAAAATCTTTATTTATTCATGTTATCACATGGCAGTTAGTAGTCTGGTTAGTTAGTTAGTTTTTGTATCATTAGCATTTTGCCAAAAACTTGGTATTGCCGAGTTCGCCCTTGTGCTTCTCTTGACTCCTTTTTCCCGCCCAAAAGAGAAAGATTTTCTGAATTGATTCTTTTCTTTAGCAGATGAATCAAATTTATTTCTCTCTTTTTTTAAATCCTTTAAGCAAATCAATCTACATTGCAACTCAGACAATGATTACAAACAGTTCCACATTAAATAGAATTCCAATTTTCAAAGAGAATATGAACATTATCATTTTACTTTATATCAATAAAATTCATATTTGAAACAAGATTGAATTTTTTTTAATCATTTTACCCCAAGGAAGGTAATAAAGCCACTAAGATGCAAGGGGTTACAAAGTGTGAGAGAATATGAGAATAATCCCCCATATACACTGCTATTGCCATGCAAAAACTAAAGTATGTTAATGTACTTCAAAATTTATTATTTCACACCAAGCAAGGCAATAAAGCTACTAAGATGCAAGGAGTTACTGTAAGTGAAAGAAACAGAGAGGACAATAAAACAGCTGGATTCAAGGAAACAAGATGATTTAAATTGTACTTAAATTTTTGAAGATCCTAGCTGGAAGTGAGTTTCCCCAGGTGAGAAGTGTGAGTGAAGAAAATATTAGCATAGAACTTATGGTTACATCTCATAAATTTTAATGATAAGACCTAACTGCCAATCTAGTACTGCATTTAAATTCATGAAGTCAATGGTACCAAAGAAGGAAGCTTGCCAGAACAACTACCATGAAAATATTTAAAGATGAGGAACAGGGAAGCAACATTATGGCAGTGGGAAAGTGATTGAAACTGAGATGCCAGGTCAGGACTGCTAACATTGCAGATTCTTCTTTGGATCTTGTCAATAATCTCTAGTAGCACCTGATGTGGCAGCAATATTCGATGCATGGCTGAATGGTAGATTTATAAAGGTGTTAGAAGGCAAAATAGTCAATCAACTTTCCTAGCAACAGACTTGGCAAGTGATTCAATATAATTGTTCCACTTGATCAGTGGAAATTATGAGACTGATAAGATGCAGGGAGATCTGGAGGTTAGCATCAGCCATGCTGATAGAAGGCAAAAAAAATCATTAATAGAGAGAGTTTTGTTATGGTGTGTTAAAATGAACAAACCATTTCTTGCCCCAGTTGATTTCCCAAAATTGAAATAATTTAATATGTGATTTATACATCTGGTATAAAAAAACATTATATATGTAAGTGCTTAAAAAGAAAAACTACTTTTTGATATCAGTCTATATTTCTTGAAGTGTTGAGTTAAAAGGGGAGATAACTGATGAGATATCCAGAAGAGGTATGGCACATGGAACTAGAACAATCTACTCTGGTGGCTGAAATAAAGGGTTTGGTTTGAAATTCCAATCACCTGAAGAAGACCAGAACATAACACCTTAAATATGGCAACAAAGATGAGGGCAACAGTCCGAACGATGTAAATAACGACTTTTGATGTTAACAGTAAGTTTTTATCACTTTCTTCATCAAAAGGAACAAAAAAAAATGAAGCTCATTTGGAAATGTTTTTTCTTTTCAGGATTGTGTCAAGCACCAAGCCGTTAAGTCAATGGTTATTGTTAGAAATGTTTCTTCAGAAGAAGCTATGGAAATTGTAAACAGTGTTTTTGACAAATGTTATAATGATTTAGAGCCCGTTGGACGGATACCAAGAAAAGCTTCCCGCGACCCACATCGTGCACTAATTGAAGGACAGATGTATGGTTATACGAACTGAATTTTTATTTTAACCATTCTCTGTAGATTGCAAATAAAAAAAATAAATGTTACTTGTAAGAGACAGAATCATGTTTTCTTAAAAAGGTGAGTTTTGTGATATTTAAAACATTTTTTCATGTTTCTCTTCAAGCAAAATGGCAAGCTTAAAAACGAGATAATTTTGAATGAAATTGTTTATTGTAGATCAGGAACAATTTTATCCACTCAATTTTAGTGACAAAAACTTGTGTCAAATAAAAAAAAAAAAAAAAAAGGTTTACAATGCATCTTGTATCATTCTGGGTTCAAAGTCAACCTGGAAAATGGGGAAATATCAGAGTATTGAAAAAATAGTCACTTTAAAAAAAAATAAAAAAATCAGGTAATTTTGGTTTCATGCCAGGAAAAACAATTTTCTAATGCAACTTGATATGCATCAGATGCATATTATATGCTTTTTTTTTTTTTTTTTTTTAAATTGAAAAATTCTAAATCTTGTTTATGTAAAAGATATATTTTCTAGGATTAGTAAAATAATGTTTTTCTTTGTCCATTCATCTTTTTAACTGTGCTCCAACACAGGAGCTATATATTTCTGTCTGTTATGAAATGTCTCAAAATTAGGAAATTTTATTCAGTGATTAATCTGGGAATCCTGTCATTTGGTAAAGGCTTCACAATGAAACACTAGTTCCTGTAAATTAAGCAGCATCGAGCCTAAACAGTACCTAGATGGGTGACCACTGAGGAATACCAGTTGTTATAAACTTGGATGTGTGGATGGTGTAATGGATAATGACTTGGAATTGTTAATCAGAGAGCCGAGTTCCAATTCCTCTTGGATTCATTATATTCACTTGTGTGCAAATACCCTTCAGAAAGGTATGAGTCCACCTCTTCTCCCCCAGCTATGGGTTAATTATTAATGATTTAGTGAGACAAATCTTACTATCTCCAAAAAAAAAAAAAAAAAAATAAAATAAAATTGCATACAAAATATTTAGATTTCAGCATTAAATAACTTATAAAGGTTGATATACCATACCGCTAAACCAGTCAACCAATTGTCTTTGGTAAACATCAAAATATTTGAGACGTCCAACAGATCATTAACTGGTTTATTGAATGACTTCAACCAGGGACAACCAACCTTTCACATTCTTTGTGTCTATTTTTCTACACAACTCATTTTATCAAAATATCTGGTTAAATCTTTCTTTGTAAAGGCTTCTTGGTCAAGATAAGAATTTTTTATCCCCATCAATGCGTTTGGTATGTTTCAGTGTAGCTGATTTGGCATCAAAAAAAATAATTGGACTATTCAGCACAGCCACTTAGGCATCAGGCTGTTTTGCCGTCACTGTCTTTGACTGGAGGCAACCCCCCCAAAAAAGAATAAAAGCATTGAAAATGCCCAACATTCAATATGACATTTTATTCATTTAGGGAATTCAGGATCCTATTGGAATAATGTAGATTAAAATAAAAATATTGTACTTAAAAAACTTGGTAAAGCTATTTAATCTTAGAAATTATTTCTTCATTTTGTAATTATGAGCAACACCCTTCAGGAATTCAATAAGATCTAATGATTCAACTTCCATTATGATTTTTTTTTGATTTGTTCATCAATATCTCTATATTTTTTTTAGCTTTTTTGGCAGGTGGATATCCAGTGATCACCTTTTCAAGAAATGTATCACATCATTTCTCAACTTGTCAATATATTTCCAGATTGAAGGATGATGCATTCTTAGCACGCATGTCGATTGGCAGCTTTGGCATGATTGTTGATGCGAGCTTCATCATTTAGAGTTCATTCATAAAGGTTCCATATCTCAGGACCAAAAATAGGAGTCATCCTCACATTGCAACGCTTTTTCAGCCATCCAGTATAAGTATCCGCAAACTCTTTTAAATATAAAAATTATTTCAACTAGTCTTTTTCTTAAATTGGACTATTCGAGCATATAATAACAAAGTACTAATTTGATTACTAAACGAAAGAGAGAAAACGAACAAACAAATTTGACTATAACAATGAAGTAGTAATCTAACACCTAATCATCTCTCTGCCAAAAAATTCCTTTGTGGAATCGGCGACACTGGAATGTTCCCCCCACCATTCAATATTTATCATTTTTATATAACTTAGTGAGTTAGTATATAGGAACAAGTGGAGTTACTTTCTGGGGTTTATTTTGTTTTTGTCAAACATTTGGAGTTGAATTAGTTACTAAGAGTAGCAGTGAACTTCAGTGTGTGTTTTTTTTTTTTTTTTTTTATCAGTCAATCACAATCTTTAGTTTTTAAAGAATTTCACATTTCTATGTTCTGAAATTTCAGTTACAATTTTGCAGTGAGGAAAGCTCATCAAATAATAGTGAATTTGTTCTCACAAAGTTCTATCTGGAGATTACTAGTCACTGAAATTATCTTTAATTTTTCATCTATTCTCTTGAGAAAAAAATTATTGGAACATAATGCTTCATGGGTTATTCACTCCATGACTTAAACACATTGTAATATACCATTTTTTTTTTTTGAAGATAGAGAAGAGAAAAAAAAGTTTTGGAAATTCCATGTCAAAGTTCTAAAAGAAATCACAAATAAAATATTGCTAGATTACAAAAATTTTATTACAAAGCTAAAAGAAAAAAAAAAAAAACAAAGTTGATATATCCTGAAAAATAGACTGACAAGAGAAAAGTCTATATTTCATCATACGTACTTGAAACCTTTTTCAAGTTATTAAAATGTCGTTTCCTTTGAAAAATGATTTCCAAGATTTTAGGCTCGTTTTTCGGTTTATTTACATTTTCCTTTGAGAATTTGAAAGTGGTTTTTTAGTTTTTTTCAGTTATATACATTTTATGTGTCATCATTTCAAACAGTACATTCATATTTTATATACATTATTTGAAAGACATATTTTAATAAATTTAGAATTTAAATTACATTATATTTAATCCAAATACCTACTTTTATGATTATTTTAACTGTGAAAATTTTCTTGTTCAAACCATTGTTTTATGCTACTAAAAAATATTTCTACCTTCAGCAAAAACAAATTTGATATTTTGGAGTTAAAAATTCACCTAAAAATGTTAATTTTTTTTTCTTTTCAGGAGTAAAAAAAAAAAGTTTGAAGTCATTCATACAATTTTACATAGCACAGATGTACTGAACAGAATTCCAAATATTAAAAGAAAAGTCTTAACATAACTGAAAATGTCGAAGGTTTCATATTTCACAATTTTTAAAAAACTTATTTTTATCAAAATTCCATTTGGGAAGTAGAGATGCAATTTTAAGTTAACTTGATTGTGAAGTTTATCATAAGTTAATGCCATTGGAATTTTAAATATATCAATGGAGATTTTATAAATTAAAATGTAAGTTTTTCACAAGTCGAACTAATAATTAAAAAGCATGACAATTTTTTAACGATAAAATAAAAATATAAAATTCACAATATGTGCATCATCACAGCTGTTCAAATGTGTTCGGCCACATGTAATTTTAATGAATCCTGATCTGGAAATGTTCCTGTACAAAGTGGACAGGCAAAGGCATCAGCTTCTTCTTCATGTTGTCTGGCTTCACTTGCAGCCGCCTGAAGAGGAGGGGAAAAAAAAGAAATGAATATAAACAAAACTACATTCTTGACAGGGAGCTTATCAAACAAATAAATGGAAGGTTTAATTTTATTTTGACTCGGTAGAGGACACATAATTAACCTCAGGAAGAGAGTTGAAATTTCATAATGAGGAAAGACGGCTTGGAAAATTTGATACTCACAGGACAGATTCAAGGCGGGAGTGACAAGAAACAATGCATAACCTATCTAGCTTGAGTAAATGGATGATGGAACAAGGTTTTTGGCAATGGAAGGAAAATCACCTCCCTCAAAAAAGAGTCTGTCCTGTGTGTGTTTTGCCACAGAAAAGGGGAAAAATTAATGAATCCTAGATAATTACTATCTTATGAATACCTTACATATGGTAATTTTTTTTTTCTTTTTTAACCTCACATCAAATTGCTAACTTTACCTCTTCCAAAAAAGATATTTGTTGTCAAAATAAATTTCAAACTGAGTAACCTATTTTTTAAATACTAAATTTCACCCTGTACGAGGCTCAAGATCCACTGAGGGTAAAGGGCTATTGTTGAAATGATTGAAGGAGGAGATGGTGGTGTGAAGTGATGATTATGAGGATAGATAACAATTGAGCCCCAACTTGAAGATGTCTTTATATAAAAAACAACAGGATTTTATATAGTTATCAGTTGTGCAGTCTAATATTCCCTTTCATTTATGGTAACAAGAAGCATTACTCAATGGCAATAAGGCAACGTAAGAGAATATTCCATTAGAAGGCACTTGGTCCGCTTATAGGTTACTTTATATTTTGTCTTAGCTTCCTTAGATATTTTAACTTTTAATGATTTAAAAAAAAAAAAATAGACATCTTTCTTATATGTGACAAAAGAGTTAATTATGGAGATAAAAATCCTTGACTTGATATGTGGCATCTGTCAATCTCTAGAGATGATGGCTCTGCACCTAAAAAGTTATGCTTCAGCTGTTGATCTGTTATTGTTGTACAGGCCTACTACATTTCAACAAATGCATGTGAAGACAACTTCCATTGATTTCACTGTGTTGTTTTTTTTTCATTCGAGCATTAAATTTTCTCCCCCAGGAGCAAACCTGTTTCTTCTTTCCCCCTCAAAGCCTCACATCTTCAATGCGAGTGATCATTGGCATACCTTGATGTCCATGTCCATCCTCATGTCTCTTTTGCAGATATCCTTGAAGCAAAGTTGAAGTTGCCCTCTTTTTGACCTTCAGAATCCTCCCATCAGTAGACTGTTGTTTCTTCGTGTTTTGTCATCACAGTGAGGCAATACTAGTGTCCTTTCTCCAGGATGCAAAAATAAAGTTTTTATGAGCAATCAGTTGCTACCCATGCAGCACATCTCCCTCTCCATGATGCAGAAAAAAGTAGAGTTGAATACAGCTTGGCACTGGCATTGTCACAGGAATTGCCAGAACAAAGTTGAACATAATATCAGACTGTCTTAGGTATTCCGGCTCTGAATTTGTCCTTAAGGTTTACTCCCAAAACCTTTCCCATGTTAGGATATGGCTGCAGGGCAGCTTTCTTTTTATGTGCTGTGTCCTTTCAGGATGTAGGTGATCATGGCTCTCCACATCCCCCTATCCCTTGTGGCTCTCAATAAGTTTCATGCCTCTGCCAACTTCCTCAAACCACATTCTGCTATCCACTTGCTTAAGACCACCAGGTCTGTAATGCATTGCTTTCCCTTGTCTCTCTTTCTCTCTATTCGAGCTGTGAGTATCAGATTCTCCAAGCCCTCCTTTCTCATTATATGTCCCAGAAACTTCAGCTATTTCCTTGTTAAAATAAATTTCCTCCTTGTTTGCATCCTTTCCAAGACCTTATCGTTGCTTACGAGACCATGATATCCTTAGCAGCCTTCTGTAGAAACCACATCTCCAGTCTCTTTCTTCATCATTGAGAAGACCATCCAACATTCGCCTGGTGGTGTGGAGGATAGATGTTATGTAGCAGCTTAGTACTCTTTTCTTTGTCACCAAAGATATCCTCCTGTCTCGCAGTACTTTGCCCAGCTTTTGGAATGCATCCTTGGCCATCTCAATCTGTCTTTGGATCTCAGTGTCACGCCTACCATCCTCTGTTAAAACACTTCCTGGATATTTAGACTTTACTGATGACCATGCATTCTGTCTTCTTGTAGTTTATTATTAGTCCCTTTTTCTCACTATCCATCGATACCTTCTGTAGGAGAATTTATGATTTCTTTTCCATGTCAGCTGTTTGTACTGTGTCATCTGCATATCTTATGTTGTTAAAATTGTGGCCACCGATGCTGAATCCCAGTAGGATTTCCAATTCTCTCAAAATTGCCTTGCTGTAGCAGAGGTTTGAAATCAGAATTTTCCTTCTCTTCCTAAATGACTTGCACAGAAAATATAACCAATGCAATTACAAAAATCATTTAAATTTAGTCAGTTTTTGAAAATATGTATAATGTTAGCTTCCTTTGGACAGTTTCATGATATAAAAAGTGGAATTCTTTTAAAAATGTGACAATATGTTTACTTGTACATGATGACTCATGCAGAAAATATATAATGGCAAAAATCATCATTTTTTGGCCAGTTTCACGTAATGCCTGAATAAAATATTGTAATAAATCAGTGACCTTGATAAAGTCATAATAATGCATGAAATATTGTTTAGGAGAGTTAAATCTAGGTAAAAAAAAGAAAAATAGAGACAATTAATTAATCTGACTGGAATGTGATGGAAGAAGGTTTGGTTTAAAAATATTAACTAGAAACCTATAAGATACTTATGAGGAAGGCACAAGTAGGATTTGAACACAACATAAACTGAGTAAGATTTAGTACAACCCTACACCACTTCTTATCCACAAGCAAGTTGCAGTGACAAGAATTATCTAAAACCCAGATGATGAACTATCCAGCCAGAATCATTGATTCTTACCAAAAGGTCTGAACTCAAACCTGACTTAGCATACTTTTTAAATACACCATGTCTGGACATAAGTTTTAATGACTTAATTACCTCCCCTTTGATTCTAATACCAATATAAGGGTGTAAAGTGTAAACTTGTTTTTTATTCTGGAAATCATGGGGGACTAAATAGATAACAGAGGGAACTAAAGTGAGGAGGGTTAACACTAGTAGCAGAGCCTATACCAATTTGCAGGGAAATTCTACTGTGGGAGGAACTGACAGTGAAAAGAGCTCTTGAACCATTGCAGTGTTTACTCATCCCCCCACGAGAATGAGATGTGACACAAGGTCGGATTAATGTGGGGACCTGAGCGTACACTCGGGCAGGGACAAAATTTCCCTCAGCCCCAAGAACTGTCGGTTGCGCTGGCCTCGGTGCGACACCAATCCCTCCCTCTGCAATGGGAGGGCGCGGCCTCGGGCAGCTGTTCCCCAGGGCTGGGCAGCTCTTCAGTACAATTTTCCTCAGTTGCCCCTCTGTCCTTTGACAGAGAAGCCCCTGAGTGCACTCTTTCCAAGGACAGAGACGCAACTGAGAGATGATAAGTCTGCATTAAAATCCCTCCAAAGTGGAATTTATATGCTTGAACCATTGCAGTTACAGTGGAACCTCAGTTCATGAATTTAATTTGTTCCTCAAGGCTGTTCATAACCCAAAACTATTAGTCCAATGTAAAGAAAAAGAGGCACAGTACAATAAAATTGGAAAAAGCTCACCACAGCACAAGAATGTATACAATATGGCAGTCGACTTGGAAATGATTCTGTCCGGGTTAACTCGGTTAAGTAATGTTTTTCAAGAACAGAAATTTTGTTCAATAACCAAGGCATTTTCATGTTGAATTTTCTGTTTGAAAAAAGGTTGTTCAACATGTGAGACGTTCAAGAAGTGAGGTTGTTCTGTATTAGATATCCAGCATCTGCTGCTTCTGCTAATGCCAATGGTCTGTAATGCTAGAGGATTTTTCATAATTATTTAGCTTTTTTTTTTTTTTTTTATTGCCACATAATTGATGCTATTTTATCATTACTTGCAAGGAAAAAAAAATCACCAAGACTTCATGTGCAGCTCCTGATGAAAGACTAGCATGTGTAGCATTGGCAAATACTAGAACCTGGATCCTATCAGCCCCTCCCAGACTTGGAAAGACCAACTGAAAATTATTTGATTGGACTTTCCTTACTGCCTTTATGTTTTTAACTGATGGCTCTTTGCCATAATTGCTGACAATAAATGCATCATAAAGGCCCATAGCGTAGAGGCCCATAACAATTGTCCACTTAAGGAACAAAGTGCTGATTTTTCTTCAACTGTTAATTTGTCATCCTTGTATTTTCTAGTCTGCTAACAAAAAGATTGGTTTCAAGTTCTGAACATGCTTTTGCTGATCAATTTGAACCTTTGTTACATTTTGCCCTACATTCAAACCAACATATTTAAGTGAACCTTGAGCATGAGAACTTATATTAAATATACTCAACTTGTTAACTGTGTTCTGGGCCCATTCCAATGAGCCTGTATAAATGAATTCACCCACATGGCGTGGCAAAATCCTTTCCAACTTTCAACACTCATACTGTACACTGTGCATCATTTAACCCACAGATACACCAAATTTCCAAATTTGTCCAGCATCACAGAATTCTGGTGGAGGTTGCAGGTACACATCCATCTTAATTGTGTCTCCTTGCAGAAATGAAAAAGTTATGTCAACTGAACCAATGTTTCAACCTGCTTTAGGTGCGGTAACAAACACCATTCTTAGTCTGTCTATATCTCTAAGATGAGGTATTATGATTACTTGCATTATCTGAACTGTTATCCTCATCTTCATTGCCATATTAACTCCAGCCTTCTTCAGGTGATTGGAATTTTGAACCAAACCCTTTATTTTGTCCACCAGGGTAGATTACTCTAGTTCTATGTGCCATGCCAAGATTAAGCTCTGGTAAAAAATTCAATAATAACAGAAAAAATTGCAATATGAGCACTGGTAAAAAGAAAAAAAAAGGTTACTGAGAC